AAAACTCAGGCCTGTAAAAGCACTGACAATTTGCTTGATTTGCTTTACAAACATTGCATGATTCAATTGCTAACTCGTTCGACTTTTTTTTGGTATCTACACAGATTATAAGATTGGCCCCCGTGCTTGCACTTGGAGTAAATCTATTACTGCCACATCTACCCCGCGACCCTTACTCACCCCGCCAAAAAGTTCTGCTTCTACGACTACTACTACTACTACTACTCCTACTCCCCACTACCATCGTCACCTTTATCCTTATACCTCGACTTCCTCTTCCTCTACCTCATTCTTCTCTACTTATCCTGCCAAAATGAGATTGACTTCGGAGAACATCAACCAGCGAGTCGTCGCTGCCAAGTACGCCGTTCGTGGTGAGCTTGCTGTCAAGTCCGAGGAATACCGAGCCAAGATCGCAAAGGGCGATACCGGCGATCTCCCCTTCAAACAGGTTATTTCTGCAAACATTGGCAACCCTCAGCAGCTCGACCAGAAGCCCATCACCTTCTTCCGCCAGGTCGCCAGTCTTCTCGAGAACCCTGTACTTCTCCAGAACGAGGAGGCTCTCACCAAGCACTTTGGCTACCAGGCCGATGTCATCGAGCGCGCCAAGTTCCTCCTGAGCAAGATCGGCTCCGTTGGTGCCTACAGTGCTAGCACCGGTGTTCCTGCGATCCGCGATAGCATCGCCCAGTTTATTGAGCGTGGGTTTTGCCGTCGCTTCTGTTTCTGCTGTGTTACTGACTTGTCTCAGGTCGCGATGGCTTCCCTGCAGATCCCGATCACATCTACCTGTCCGCCGGCGCCTCCTCCGGTGTCAACACCCTTCTCAATGTCATCTGCGCCTCCCCTAAGACCGGCATCCTTATTCCAATTCCTCAGTACCCTCTCTACACTGCTACTCTCTCCCTCTTGGACGCCACCGCTGTCCCTTACCTCCTGGACGAGCATAAGAACTGGGGTACCGACGTCGACACCATCCGTGCCTCATACGAAAAGGCCAAGGCTGACGGCATTGACGTTCGATGCATCGTCATTATCAACCCTGGTAACCCTACCGGTGCCTCTCTTCCCGAGGAGGACATTCGTGCTGTCCTTGAGTTCGCCAACAAGGAGAACCTAGTTGTTATGGCCGACGAGGTCTACCAGACAAATGTCTTTGTTGGCAAGTTCCACAGTTTCAAGGCTGTCCTCCGCACTCTTGAGAAGGAGAACCCTGGCAAGTTTGACGGCCTCGAGCTCGCCTCTCTTCACAGTGTCTCCAAGGGCATGGTTGGCGAGTGTGGTCACCGAGGAGGTTACTTCGAGCTTGTCAACTTCGATGCCGAGGTCGAGGCCAACATCTACAAGTTCATTTCCATCATGCTCTGCGCCCCTGTTATTGGTCAGTGCATCGTTGAGTTGATGGTCAACCCTCCCAAGCCGGGCGAGCCCTCACACGAGCTTTACAAGAAGGAGTACGATGGCATATTCACCGGTCTTCAAGAGCGTGCTACCGCCCTCCACAAGGCTTTCTCTCAGATGGAGGGAGTTGAGTGCGCCGAGCCCCAGGGTTCCATGTACCTCTTCCCCACCATCAACCTGCCCGAGAAGGCCGCCGAGGCTGCCAAGGCAGAGGGTCGAAGCCCAGATGAGTTCTACTGCATGCGTCTCCTCGAGGCTACTGGTATCTGTGTCGTTCCCGGCTCAGGCTTTGGCCAGAAAGAGGGTACCCTGCATTTCAGAACAACCTTCCTTGCGCCTGGCACCGAGTGGGTTGGCAGCATCGTCAAGTTCCACAAGGAGTTCCTCGAGAAGTACCGATGAAGCATCAGTCGCAGTTGTGCAGCATTGTCATTGTGAGTCGAAGCCGGACTTGGAGCGGGGCCCCAGGGGTTCGGCGGTCCGGCGGTCCGGGGCCGAGGGTTCGGCACGGGGCGACGATGTGGCGCGCGAAGGAAAAAGAGATAGAAATTTAGGATTATCAAACAGGAAATAGTTTTGCATAGTTTAGCGCCTTGATAGGTATTGGATAGACAGAAGTTCACCAATTTAGCATTTTTGTTATATGTCAATATGGCGTGTCCCACCTCAAATCAACAAAGACTGTGAGCCTACCGGAACATGATAGAAAAATCCGGGGTAGACGTGTGCTGTTGATCTTTCGATTCTGACCCTTGCTTGCATACGCAGGTACCAGAGGAGAAGACTGGGGTAGATCGATTCTTCAGCTGTATGCTTAACATCATATCATTCAAACACATGCAGCTAACTCCGCAGTGCAGTTGTCACCTCGGTGTGGAAGGGGGGTGATATCAGATCAGCCCATTTTTCTGGCTCTCCTCACCGGAACCCAGCCAATCTAGACTAATACCGCAAATGGCTTGTCTACTCCATAACATATCATATCATATCATGCTGTACAGTCAAGGAAATAGGTAAAGGCATGGGCTTATTCTCTGTCTCTTCGCTTTGTTCCCCCACTACGGCATGACAAAGTCAAGCACCAGCTTCCTCATCTATAAATCGCCTCATTTATGCCCTCTCACTACCCCTCAGTCGCACAGCCTGGCCGTACTTTTGTAGTTTTGTGATGAGCTGATCGCCCTGTCGCACAACATCCTGATACTGCTTGTTCTTGTCATCGGGGCGGTTTGTCTCGATCACACCCTTGCCTGTCACGCGATCGATGGTGCAGGGGATGCGCCCAGCAGCGATGAAGCGGGCGAGGTCACTAGTAGAGAATCAGTCAGGTTGTGCCATTCATGACATTGCGTAACGTGTGACATACCGATCGAGGAAGTCAACAGTGACTCCGAAATCATTGGCCATGCTCTCCAGGCCAACAACTCTGTAGCTTTGGAGAAGCTGCTGATAGGCGCGAAGTCGCATCTCCCGAATAAACCAGTTCTTGTGCTCATGAAGATAGCGGTCCTGGTTTAGGAACTGCTCCTCGACCTCGGCGAGAGACTTGAAGAAGGTCTTGTAGTTTCCGTTGTACAGACTGCTAACGAGCAGTGCTAGGGGGCTAAAGTCAATGGCCATCTCGGCTTCAGGTTGCTCCGTGCTGGTACCCAACGTGGTCAGGTTGACAGCAGCGGTGGCCGTCTTAGGAGCCTTCGCACCGGTAGTGTCATCGGCACCAGGGCCAGCACTGAGAGCACCACTGAGAGCAAGAAGCTTGTCCTCGCCGTCACCCAGGATAGCCTTGATTTCAGGTGCGTCTACAACCTTTGACTTGAAATCGACTCGCTTGAGAGACACTGAACCAGCCAGAACGGAGTAAACAACGAGGTTGGAATAGGTGCAGAGTTCGTAACTGGTGAACGTGGAGAGAGAGTCGAGCAGTAAAGGCGCAGCGAGGTTGTAGGAGCGAAGTGTGAGTAGGTGCAGACCCTCGTAGGCCTTGAGACGGTTGCGGCGGTCCCAGTCACCGCCTGATTCGACAAGTGTCTTCGCACGTTCGACGTGCTTCTTGACAAGAGGCTTGTCGCCATAGAAGAGACCCATGCGTATTATGGCGAGGACGACGTCGATCTTGGTACCGAGGATTCCCGTCTTTTCGGAGAGGCTCTCGTAGGCGGCAATGGCCTTGTCCTTGGTGGGTGTTAGCAGGCGAAGTCAATTATGCTGCTGGGGCCTGAGTTTCTGTGTGAGAACATACCTTATCTCCCACACGAGCCCAGAACTCAGCTCGCTTCCCCTGAGCAGCCATGACCTCGGTGTCGCCAGCTTGCTCAACAGCATCTTCCTCCTCTTTCTGGAACTCTTGCAGTTCCCGATCATTATCTTCCTTCAGCTGGTTGTAGAGGCCCTCGTCCCAGGGAAGACTGACGATGGTAGCGGCAGGCTTAGTAGCAATCATTCCAACAAGACTGGACTTTCTGCTGAGAGGTCGCCCGGGAGCAGAAGAGCCGCCCTCCCCAAGAGTGTTGAGGACACCATCAAGTGGGTGGGCAAGATATCGGTAGAAAGGAGCCATCTTGTCCTGTGCGATAGCATCTTGGAGAGCCTTTACAGAAGCTTGTTGCGCATTTTTAGTGGCATAACCGTTTGTGAGGGTGAAAACGTGCTGCGACAGAGGCAGCAATGGCCACTTCGCGTACTGGGGGTCGGAACCCATGATGGAGGCGGTCGCTGTCGTCGAGAGTTTGTGATTGTTTTAAGCGCAGAGTGCGATATCGGTAGTTGCCCGGAGAAATCGAAGACAATGGCGTTATTCGCTGTTGAGCGTTGTTGTTGTTGATGTTGATGTTGTGGTTTGGCGGATGGATGACGAGAGAAGCTCAGAGATAGGTCGGTAGAGCTTGGTGTTGAGCAGATACAGCAATCCAATGACAATTGGATCCATTGGATGGCGAGGCGACAGTGGGGGTCTTCTAGGCGGCTTTGTGCTGCAAGGCTCCAGCGGGACACGCACTGATGGACTGGTACGTACCCCGAGCATTTAGCTCAACTTTTACCAAGCTCACGCCAGCGAGCGAAGGAATTGGTAAAGAATGAGTTGCACAGTGAATAATTCTCAGGTTGTGCTTCAGTCTCACCTGATGCTTGGTAGCCAATGGAATAGCAGAATGCGTCAAGGGTTTCATAATTCCTCACTTCTATGATATATCTGGCATTGCTTCTGTAGTAGTTGTCTGGCAGTCAAATATCTTAGTACACAACACTGCCAATATATTTTCCATTTTCCCATTGACTTAACCTAGTACGACTTAAGTGTCATCAGATTACTTTAAAAGTAAGAAGTAAATAGCATTCTCTGTAGACACAGAGTACTTGAGTCATCGTTTCATTGAGTTGCAACGGCAGAAAACCAACAGGTGCAGGGTAGGCTGATCCAACTGGACCGCATGGGGGCCGAGCGCCCTTACATCAGTGCAACGCTGAGATTAGATACAGAACATGCATCATGTTCCTTTTTCCTTTCATTTCAACAACTTTAACATCCAACTTCGCATCTACCATTGCAACATCAATCGACACATATTCCACGGAAAGAACGAGAGAGGCTGTCAGAAATGGGCAGAGACTCTGATCGCGACGACGGCGATGAGCGAAACCACCGCAAACGTCCTGCCAACGACGAACCTCAGGATGACCTACCCCAACCATACAACGCCAAGTCACTTCAGCCAGCAAAGCGGCGCGCCCTCTCGCCATCAGAACAGCCTCGAAAGCTGAAGCGCCCCGGTGCGCGCGCGCGTATCTCAGAGGCCGAGCGTGAAGCCATTCGACAGCGCCAGCTCGAACGAGAACGCGAGGCCGCTGCTGAGGAAGCCGCCGAAGCCGAACAGGAGAGGATCCGAAACAACAGTGATCTTGTGCGACACCACTACAACAACGTGCCAGAGCGTGGTCGCGACTGGAGAACAAGGGACAGCAAGATCAAGGGACTTCGTGTTTTCAACAACTGGATCAAGAGCTGCATCATCCAGCGTTATTCACCCGATGAAGACCACACCCCTGGTTCGCGCGAAACTGGACGCTCCAGCGGCAAGGACTTACTTGTACTGGACATGGGATGTGGAAAGGGCGGCGATCTCAACAAATGGCAGCAGGCTCCTCAGCCAATTCAGCTTTATGTTGGGCTCGATCCCGCTGATGTGAGTATTGAGCAAGCTCGCGACCGCTACCGTACACTGGGCAGCCGTGGCGGGCGAGGCGGGCGAGGCGGACACCGACGACCGCCACCGCGCTTATTCGACGCTCGTTTCCATGTTAAAGATTGCTTCGGCGATTCCATTGAGAACCTCGACATCATCCAACAAGTCGGCTTCGACCCTTCGCCCATGAATCGCCGAGGTTTCGACGTCGTCAGCATGATGTTCTCTATGCACTATGCTTTCGAGTCGGAAAAGAACGCGCGCAACATGCTCCGCAATGTCGCTGGAGCACTCAAGAAAGGAGGACGTTTCATCGGCTGCATCCCTAATTCTGATGTTCTGGGCGAACGAGTCCGCAAATTCAACGAGGAGGCCGCTGCCAAGCGTGCAGCTAAGCAAAACGAAGAAAAGGACGGCGATGGCTCGACAACACCGCAACAAACGGAGCCAGAGGATGGCGAGCTGGAAGAGGGCGAGGAGGAGCCCACCGCTGAATGGGGTAACTCGATTTACCGTGTGCGCTTCCCGGGAAAAACACCTGATGATGGTGTCTTTCGACCTGCCTTTGGCTGGAAATATAACTTCTTTCTAGACGAAGCTGTGGAGGAGGTGCCTGAGTATGTCGTACCCTGGGAGGCCTTTCGTGCTCTCGCCGAGGACTACAACCTTGAGTTGCAGTTTCACCGCACTTTTCCTGAAATCTGGGAGGCGGAGAAGGATGACCGCGAGCTTGGTCCCCTGAGCGAGCGTATGGGCGTACGGGAGCGTGGTGGAGGCCCTCTTCTGGTATCTGATGAGGAGATGGAAGCTGCTAGTTTCTACGTCGGGTTCTGCTTCTACAAGGTTTAATCATTTCTATATCGGCACAAGACATTGGGGGTGGTATCATGGGCTTGGTGTTAGGGAGTTTGGCTCATATACAGGAGAAACGACGCCACTTCCACCAGGGCAAGTCGATCAAAATAAGAAAAGACGATGTTTGTTGATTATATATCTATGTGATAAAAATGTGTTTTCGATGGAGCTGGGTATCATGTTTCTTTCTGAATGGCGAGGTTCAACCCCTTCCTATGCAATACCTGTTCTCTTCCCAAGTAACGAATTCCTCCTCAAAACTTGCCGAAGTCCGGTGAACATCTACTCAACCGTAACCCTGATTAAAGAGCATTCGTTGCCCGCCGCCATATCGTCAAAGCGGCAACTCCTGCGCAGGCCGTGGCGCCTAATGCAATGTACAAACTGGTCCGATCAGGCCCCTCCTCATTGCTCCTGGGGAAAGCCGTACTAGGATTTGTAGCGGCATCTGCAAAACCTACAAAAAGCTCACTGATGCTACCCCAGGTGACACTCACATGTAACGGCAGGCTCATGTTGAGTGACGCAGTATACTGATCCGGCTGAAGCTCACAGCGTTGGTTTGTCTTGTCTTTATCGGCCTTGAGAGCAGTATAAATCGAAGGGAGCTCATCCAAGTGCGCGTATTTGCTCCGCAGATCAACGATATGCGAGAACGAGTCGGGGTCAGACGAGTCATAGGCGTAGCAAATAAGATCGCAAGCATCTAACTTGGCCGGGTTCTCAAGGATTGCAGGCTCCAACTCTCCAAGCTCTTCCAGAATGAGGTACACTTGCTTTCCGCCGGGCAGCTCGACACTGTTGACAGCGCGGCGTGGCTTGATGGTCGGATGATAAAGACCATCAAACGGGCGGTTGAGGAATGAGTCGAGGAGAGCGGATTTGCCTGCTCCTGATGCACCAAGAACGTAGCAGAGGACCACGTTACGCTCAACCCGACCAGGACGTCTTCTTCTCTTGCGAGGCTTGGTTATCTTAAGTGCCGCGGTGATGGGTTCTTTGGGATTCGGAGGCTCAAACCCCAGATACGCAAGATATTCAATAGTTGTCTTGGGTTCGATAAATGTTGTCATACTCCACTGAGCCAGCCAGCCCTGCAAAGTGACGTGCCCAGCTTCATTCCTTACAGTCGAGGAGGGGAACGACGAGTCGGTCCACGAACTGGGAAGGCCTGGAGCTGGGGCAAACAGAGCCTCGAGTTCTTGATCATTGAGACCACCGTCATTGTCCTTGTCAAAGAGCAAGAAGAGATCCACAAAGAATCTATAGCCGGCAGGACTCAACTCGGCCGACGAGTACTCTGGAACATCGAACTTGGGTCTAATGAACTTATCCTCGAGACTAAGACTATCGGTATAGTGATATTTTCGAAGGATAATCCAGATAGTCTCATGGCGACCCTTCTCAGCATAAAGCTTGTTTAATTGTAGGAACCCCGGCAGGTCAATGCCCTTTTCTAACTCGGACGTGGGCAACGATTTCGAGATACTGAGTTTGATATTGTCTAGATCGTCCGCTGTCAGAGGTTTATCGAAACAACGTGCTTGGAAGTCTCTCATTTCTTGCTCATTGAGATATCCGTCCTGATCTTTGTCGCAAAGATAGAATATGCGCCTCAGAGCATCAACGCACAGAGGCTTGAGATGCCCCTCCTTGTAGTCGAATAGAGGGGCAATCGGATGAGTTACGGCCTTTTGACAAAGGAAGAAGACTTCGTTTACGTTTCGATGGTCTCGAGCGCTGGTGCGGATGCAGGAATCGATTTCGCGAAATTCGGCCATCACAGGTAACAATTCCTCCTCGACTACCTGAGGGGTGGTGCCTTGACCAGCCAGATCAGATTTGTTGGCACATAATACGACGGGGACGTTGACGCCGAGGGATCGGAAGTATGGCATCCAGAACAGTGCTACTCTTTCGTAGCTGTAATGATCGGCATAGACGAGAAGGATGACATTGCACTTTCGGATCTCTTTGCGCAAAGTAGTTCGGTCTTGCGGGCGAGCTGAGGTATCGACGATCGTTGTTGAGACATTCTCGGGCGTACCAATACTAGGAGGGATAGTGATTTGAGGAAGGACGGGCTGGATTTTGTTGTTGACAAATTGATCTTTTACGAGAGAAGCGATGAGGCTCGATTTGCCGGTGCTTTCATCACCGCAGACGCAGATGCGCACTGCGCAAGGAAGGTTAGTCATTTGAGCAAGAAGTTGTTGTTGGATTGAAGAGCTCGCAGTGGAGTTGGAGCCAAGTTACGGAGTAGTTGGAGGATGTTCGTACCGGCGGCGGCCATGATGGAGCTATTATCGGAGTCTTTGGTGAAAGTACTGGTATGTCGTCATTAAGGTTCCATGCCCAAGAGGGAACGGGACGGGGACGGTGGTCTGCTGATATCGTGGGTTGGGTAGGTCGATCGTGGGGAATGAATGAATCGTAGCGGCGGCAACAGCGCAGGTGACAGCAGTTGATGAATTGGTCAAATTGGAGGATATGGCGATTATTTCGAGAGCCTCAAGGGATAACCAAGTTGGAGAGAGCCACGAAAGAAAAGAGTCTTGCAGAGAAGATCACCTCATCTATCACCTCAGGCCATGTCTCAGTTTTATATGAGAAACAAGACGAGACAGAAAGAGCGGTGCAGAGCAAACAAAGCACAGCCGATCAATGCAGAGAAGGGAATAGACTAGGTACAGCAGCCAATATGCAGCTAATTCAAAACCCAAGTGCCAGACCTAAAATTGGAGTTTGATGGCAGACAAACAAGAGACAAGTGATGCGACGAGCAAGGATTGGGTGGTTTGAGGGACGATCAATTAAAGATGCGTCCCGCTTTCAGTGAGTGTCTAGGGGAGGAAAGAAAACCCAGGACCTTGAGCCCTGAGTGACAAAATACTTAGGTAACTTTATATAAACATAAGATATATCTTACTGAGTTTATTTTGACACCCTATATCAAGGTCTGGTATTTTCTTGCTCCCCGAGGAGTGTGTTGTCATGAACCGCCGTCACCGTACGAGCCTGAGCTTTCAGGGAATGAACGACCCCACAGTCTAGGTCCTGGGAGACGATGGTAGGCTGATACCGCCTGTAAGTGGGCGCCTGGGTATTATCAGTTCCTGTACAACTCATCCATCTCGTCACTTGACGCCCGACTTGCTACTAGGTAGGTAGGTGCTCGGTTCGAGCAGAGTAATATTGGTCGAATATCTAGGAAATGAGCAGAACCCTTCTTTCGATGTAATAGGGTGAGCCTGACACTGGCGGTTAACTAGACAAAGATGCGGTCCACTGGTTATATTTCTTACTGACCCGTCCAAGATAAGTCTTGTTCAGAACATCCAAATCCATGTTCAACCCATCGAAGGATTCGGTGGAATGATAGAGTGGCGCGACTAATGCCATGGCAACTCCCAACATTTGAATACGTTTATATTGGTGCCATCAAAGGTTTGGAAACACCAATACAGTTTGTAGGAACCTATGGGGGGTATCAATAATGTTACTGTTCTTTGTGACACTGAACGGCAACCGTTGCGCCACGCAGAACCCCTAGCTCCAATCCAGAAATTTGGGACATTCAAGTTGATTCATCGAAAAGCGCGCACAGTCAAATACTAGCGACAGAAGACCAGCCTGTATAATGGCTAAATGCCCCCAATTTCTAAGTCACATCCAATCCAATGGTTGGTCGTTACCTATCATTTAGCCCTTCAATTCTGGAACCCTGGCCGTTGCAATGGATGGCGTTTTCCCCAGTTTACCCCACACTACCTAATCGTCTGCAGCTGCGCCTGCGGCTTCCGAGTCCGTTGATCCAACCCCAATCCTCCGCTCTCATCTCAACCAGTCCTCGGCTATATCCTCCCAGCCTCACAAGTCAACCTCTTCTACTTACTGCGGTACCCGCGAGTCGATCGATCGCTAGAGATAGGACTCACCGAGTGTTGCTGTCCCAAGGCCATTCCCTCGCTCTCCAGTGACGTCGTATAGCACCTTTCAATTCCGAACGTCGACTGCTGTGCCTCTCGCCATTCAATCCCCTCCGCCTCCGCCTCCATCCAGTAGCGACTAAACATCGCGATAACCTCATTCGATCTGTCAATTGTAGAGCTCATTGGAAATATACAAGCATTTTTTGTAAACCGCCATCATGTTGTACGTCCATTCCCTCCCCTCATGCGCCGGCGTTTGCGCATCAGCTGCTCTACGCCCGACACAAACTGACACAACGGAATTCCAGTGTGCTACCTCCCCCGCCACGATATCCCACCATGGGGCCTTATGGCGCCGGTGGTATACACCCTGTTCCCATGATAGAGACAAACAATACGTTATCGAATCCGACGGGTCCCGAATGGCAATTCCTGGTTGGAGAAGGTAGACAACCACGCTCTATACTCTCGCTGTATCTCGACTTACGTATTGTAAACCACCAGGCACGTATACACTTAAAGAAGACTTACATCTTGCGACACCTCCGCCCCATCCTTCCGAAGCCACCGTCCCGAACCCGAACCCGCTATCGACTCTTCCGCAGCCTGCCAGCGCCGGTACCTCAGTCTCTCTCATCGCGCTTGAGAGTCGTCCGGCTCCAAACTTTCTGTATAGAGGACTCTCTTCGACCACCCTCGCCCTGAGTGGCGCACCATCTAGCATTCAGGAGCATCCCAACGAGGGCCGCTACTCTGCCGAAGGTGGCAAGACGAGTGAGGAGGGCCGTACCGGTTCGACAAGTGATGCTCAGGCTACCTCCATTACCATTGGCTCTGCACCTGCTTTTGGCGAAGGCAATGCTTTGCTTACCCAGGTGCCAACCAAGGATGTGAACAAGAAGAGAAAGCCCAAGAACAACATGACAAAGAGCAACTCGTCTTTCATCTCTCGCGTTATTGTCAACGAAAGCCTGTCTAAGAAACTTACGGAGCGATCCAATGATGGCCTCTTTGCTTTTGCAAATATCAACCGCGCCTTTCAGTGGCTTGATATGTCGTCGTCGTCAAAGGTTCGTGTCGCTACGTAGCGAGGCAATCCTCGGACATCCTGAGACATCCTGACTGACATCACGAGCAGCAAGACTATTTGACCAAGATTCTTTTCACGAAAGCGCATTGTCTATGTCACGATGTTAATGTCCATACCAAGAGTGTCTCGCATCTGGATGTTATAATGGGCTTCTCAACTGGAGAGGTTATCTGGTGGGAGCCGATCTCACAGCGATATACACGACTGAACAAAAATGTAGGATAGTGCTCAGGGTCTAGTATTCGACAAGCACCCCGCTGACACCATATCTTAGGGTGCAATTAATGGAACACCAGTTGCGGCAATTCGATGGATTCCAGGATCAGAGAACCTATTTCTAGCTGCCCATATGGATGGGTCGCTGGTCGTATATGACAAGGAAAAAGAGGACGCTCAGTTCAACCCCGAAGAGGAAGCGATTAATGGAAACGTGAATGGGACGAGTGGTGAGTCGTTAGATGCCAGCAATGGCGGAGCTCATCACAATTCTATTCGAATCAACAAGTCAGTGCATTCCAAAAATCAAAAGGTCAATCCAGTTGCCGCCTGGAAGTTATCCAACCATCGAATCAACGCCTTCTCCTTCTCGCCTGATAACCGACACTTGGCTGTCGTGTCAGAGGACGGCACGCTAAGAATTATTGACTATTTGAAGGAAGAGTGAGTTGAAGTTCCTGGCACCTTATCTTGTTGAGAAGCTTATCTGACTGGGCTGCAAGGCTACTCGATGTGTTCTATTCCTATTATGGAGGACTAACATGCGTTTGTTGGTCCCCAGATGGCCAATACGTATTGACTGGCGGACAAGACGACTTGATATCAATATGGTCACTGTCGGACTCGGCTCTGGTAGCTAGATGCCAGGGACACCAGTCTTGGGTATCAGCCGTTGCCTTTGACCCTTGGAGATGCGATGAGCGAAACTATCGTTTCGGTAGCGTGGGGGAAGACGGGCGTCTTTGCCTGTGGGACTTCAGTGTCGGCATGCTTCACCGACCCAAAGCGGTATGTGCTAACACCAACATCTACAATGGCGGGAGATGTGACGCTCCACGGCATTGCACTGTGATATCTTTATTCTACGCCACGCCTTTTACACGACTCGATCGCTAACAGTATTTGACCATTATAGCAATCTGTACGACACCGTGGATCTGTCTCATCGCGCTATACGGCTTTGCAGCGGGCTGAGACGGCCACCACGTCCAACTCAAGGTTGCGATCGAACTCGAACCTAGATACTGAAGACGAGGAAATGGCTATCGCACACCCTGTGGAACCGCGGGCCAGAATTCCTATGCTCCCCCCAGTACTTGTAAGTTTCAATGCGAGGGCTGATATGTGATAGCTTCAGGTTGCAAGGTGTCGTAAAACTAACGGCGAGACAAACAGAACAAATCAATTGATACCCACCCAGTGTGTTGGCTGGATTTCACAGAGAACGCTATCATGACGAGCTGCAAGTCAGGTAAGCAACACCAAGCCAAGCTTCGATTGGACTATTGAGATCAACCATCGCTTGCCCCTGGCATGCACATAACACAAGTGACAAGCTGACATGTGAATCTCCTAAAATAGGACATATGAGAACATGGCTGCGACCTGGATCGGAGCTTACGGCACAGACCAAGGGAGCAGAAGCCCCGGGAGCAACATCATGATAAACGGATATCCGTACATGCTGAGCGATAGAAGCCTTGATGGGCTTCGTAACAAGGGCGCTGGCGAATAGAGTTTCATGATGGGTTTGTTGGTCTCCTTGTTTTGTGATGAGCCTGTAAAGCGAGATCCAATAACTGCTATACGCAAGGGGGAGTGGTTGTTGTCATTTGAGTCATTGGTTGATTTCGGGGTTTGATAGTGTGAATCTGATGTAGGTGTATGGATACTTAGACCGGAAATCCACCTCGGATCTTGTTTTTGACTGCAAGTCTTTAGCCCAGGATCCAAGGTCAACAAATTATGTGCCCTTGGCAGCTATGGACTGGCTTGGGCACCGGCCGGGATAGATAGTCAAAGAGTCATATACATAGCTGTTGGGAAACCGTTTTGGGCTGTCTTGCAGGAGTACGGATAATGAGTCGGTCCTATCAATCAGGCGTCTCCGTCAAGCCCACATGGTGATGGAGGCTCTTCGGTGATACAACGAGTTGCCGTGTTTGAGGTCCACAATGGCTGCAGGACCCTGATTTTAGATGTTGGATTTTTTATCCCTCCGAGAGATACCAGTGGATCTCCAGACACTAGACTAGCGCACGTAACGATTGCATACATCCAATTGCTGCACGTTTCTAGATAAGCAGGAGGCTGAGAAATCTCTCTCGTGTCAGTGAGAGCTGTCAGATTTGCGAGAATGACGAGAGATTGCATTGTGCTGAAGCAACCGAGTGTCCATTCCATAAGAGACAACGTGGAGAGACGCGCAGGCAGTCGCGTAACCATGATAATGCGAAATAGTGCCATCTCATGTTATCAGATCTTGATTTTTTGATCTCAGTCGACGATCTTCAACAATTTCCAACCTGAGGAACCAATCGAGTACTTGTACAAATTGTGCACGCACACTAATGCGAGCTTATTGCACGCCCGTTGCTCATCTACCGAGTCGACGGCGCCGCGCCCGTGCATCAAAGCAAGGACCAGGTCTGGTGAGAGCGCAACTTGAACCTCAAACGCCGAGTTGAATCGCTCACTAGCAATTGTAATAGCTGGTTATCGCGTTTCGATGTGGCTGGCTGGACTAGGGACAAGCATTGAAAATCATCCTTGCAAATCGGGAAAAGGGAGGGGGGCTACTCAGCCCACTAACACGGCCGTTGCCGAACCAAACCTGATGGACAAGGGCCAGCCAGGACAGACCATCATGTGGTGGCTGGCTCGCCTGATGGCGTGTGGTCAACATTGGACACCAGCAACAGAGCAGGGAGGTGCATATATAAGCCGATGATATCTGTGTATCAAGGGTCATGAAGTCACAGTACTCCAAGAGACTTCAGTTAGTTATTGCCGGAACTAGTTATGGAGCATATATCATGAACTTCTTGCGTTGTCATGAGAAGCTCATGAGAGGTCATGATGAGATTTGCTGGATGTTGCTTTGGCTACCTGATTAATCTTTGAACTTGCGGTGACTCGTTGGATACCTAGTGAGGAATCATTGCTTGGGCACTTAGGCAGTAGGTTGATTGGCTCGGGCAACAAATTGTACATCTGTGTCGTGTCTGATGGGTGGTTTCGCGTCTGTCGGTCTTGAATTTCCGGGCCCTGTCTGCAACAAATCAACCAACCAAAAGCTGAGCTGGAAAACTTTTACGCCTGGCATGGTGATCACAGAGCTTGCGTACTTTACAAGGCTGATTGCTATCCATATTACGGGTCCGGTACGGTACTTGGGGCTCCCGAATCAAAGGCCCAATTTTCGAGAATAAAAACCGCAACAAAGGACTCCATCGAATGTTTCCGCTAGGCTTTAGCGAAAATGTGTTGTTTTGGAGCCTTGAAACCCTGCGTGATATGCCATGACATAAGAGGTAACCCGAGCGGCCGAGGTGTAATTACCTGAGGCGGTATTCTCGATGGCAAGCCGATACAGAGCCGTTGTATCTCGGAACGTGCATATCGACGCCGAAATCTGGAAACGACTTCCCTTGATGAGATAAAGTTTGAGTACCTGAGGCTGAACTGATGTGGCACCGCCACGGGCAAAGTGGTTAGCCCAAAGAGACACAACCGAACTCATGAGTGGTCCTAACGAGCTAGATCTTCTTGTCGGTGACCCGTCGTCTCGGTGCTTTATCAACGGGTATAGGGGCCGTCGACGGGCGCTTGTTCAATGGAGACGAGCCAAGCTGAAGGCTAGCTCATTAGGCGCGACATGGATGCCGTCAAAGTGTAGTGCCTAGAGTGCATAATGCAGTCAGACAGCCAGGTTAAGCTGCTTGACTGGAAGACACTGTCAACGGTGTCTGTAACCGCACTTGTAAAAAGCAAGTTCGTATTTGTTCCCGGTCCCAGTAACCGATAGTCCGCAAGGACTGTCAAGAGGATGGACCCTCACCATATGCATACATAGTTCAGACTGTTCTCGTTTGCCCGGCTAAAGGCGAGTCTGGAGTCTGCCTCCCCTGGCGTGATTGTTGTGATCTAGATCGAATCACCGTATGTATTCGACATGTTTACCCCAATAGTTCTGGGTAGAAATTAACCTCGAAGAGATTCCGGGACAGGGGCCGTTCCGTTCAAAGTCTGGGGCCTCCCAATCCAGACCTGACTATTGTGAGCTTTCAGATGCTCAGTCCATCACGGTTGGGTATCATGAATTACTGGAGGCAGAAGGGTGTCGTAGGAGGGGTCTCGTGCCGTGCCCCCAATTCTAGAACTGCATGTTCCGTATATGTCCAGTGCATGTGCCAGTCATTGTGCTATGGCTGAGAATCATATGATAAGTAGCAATTACTGCTGTATATGCGAAAGATCACCAGAATCGCAAGTAAGTTTCATCAAACAGCTTGTATGGCGACAAAGGTGTCAGTTCAGTGCCCATGATGGGATAATGTGACAAATATGGTTGGCTGAGCGCCTCGTGTAGTGATAAGCAACGACCCGATAGCGAATATTCATTCAACCACGACAGAAAACATCCCGTGCTATGACCGAGCGCCACAATAACGTGCCTGGCAGGTTATGTACTTATCCTGCCTGAGAAAACGACTAGAGATTAGCGGAGCCGCAAGAAGAATAGACAAGAGAGTTTCGAGATCGCAAGCCATTGCCAAACTCGATGCATTCCTGGCATGACTTCCAAGCCTCTGATCCCGCCGTTTGCAGAACTTATTCTTGTCCTTGAATCAAGGTCGAACAGCTCGAAGGATGAACCAAGGAGTAGTTAGTCCTGCAAACCTGGGTTTGGTATCGAATGGTATTGGGGGTTTCAGCGTGGGGGTCGTAACCTGAGGTAGAGGCTGTCGGTACCTTAGTAGGTCACCTCGATGCCCGGTCTTCGATGAGGTACGTACAGTACATTTGAGCCCCTTCCACGATAATAGACCGGCTTTAATGTCTCTGACTCGAGGCATCGATCGTGACATCCATTGACTGGTGATGTCGGAAAGAGATAATGAATGGATTTACTTATTCTCATGGATAACGACACCTGTTAGGTATGTACAGGTAGGTACTAAGTAATTAAGGTAAAGCGACTGTTACGGTTTTGTCGTGAGCTGAATTGGCTGTGCCTCCCGGTTCGTATCCTACCTAATTGGACCTAGAAGCCCAATACCTACATACACAGAAGATGCTCAATGATGACACCATTTGGCAGGTGCGCATGCTTACCCTGCCGTGGCCAACACAAAGTTTTCTTAGGGGGCCATACCAATTAATGATTTTCTGAAATGAAGCAATTCCAATCATCGTCACCTTTTTAATGGAGATGCTCAGGTACTTGCGGATATTTATCTATCTACCACCGTCATCAATTCTCGGCGTTACGACGCCACGCAGCACAGACGCTCGGCACAGCGTTGAACCTGCAGGGCAAAAAGCTTCCATCAGGCTTCGATAGTACGAATCGTCCCGACTCATGCAACAAACCAGCCTCAAGCACTTCGGCGGCGTCTCCCCCCCACTATCCCTTGTCCGTTACAGGGCCTCAAACGTCTTGGCCTTGCTCAGCATCGTTGTTGAGTGTGTCTTGCGTGCTCTGGCCTAACCACAGTGGTTCTCACTAGTAAGACAAACGAGGCCGAGACAATTTACAACAAGCAGCCTGGTCTTTTAGGACCCTCTTATCGGCGATGAAAGACCGCGATACATTACCTATCTCAAATTTGATGTCCAAGGCGCCTTGTTGACGTTTCGTCGTTTCCCGTTTCCTCCGGCCCGCCAACATCCGACGCCCGCTCACCATCGCAACCTTCCGGCACGTACGATGTACGAAGAGATGATACATGACACTTGCAGCCAGATCAGCAGGGCAGACCTGTCCTGTACCGTAATTACCGTTACAGCACAGCACCTTTGCTGCGTCAACCGCGCCATGTCGGCTTTGTGTACGGTAACTGTGCTGAAGCTGTCGGCAGGGCAGAATAGGCCTTGTTATCAGTTATCACTACCTCAAAGAGGCTTGGACCATGCCCTAAACGACGGCATTGCAGGGGTGGTATCACTGAACGGAGTGATTGCTTGATCTGCCTGGTTCCAGTCTGTTCCTGTCTCTGGGAGAGGATATTCGGCTGGTCATGATCAAAGCCAGAGAGATGCATACATCGAATGTCATGCTAATCTTTTCTATTCTGTCCAACTCCTTTTCCTTTTCCCATGATCTTTTTTTCAGGATTCACACGCATTTCAAGCTCCACACCCCTACGACTGTAAAAGAAGGATCATTGTCGCCCCCGATTTCTGCTGTCCCATCTAACTTGTTCCGTCTCCTTGTTGCCCGCCGCCTCTTCATCATACCCATATCTTTTTTCATACATGCCAGGTTCATCTGAATGAGAAATCTT